AATTACTGCTACTAAAAAACCCCAAAATTTGTGTGTTTGTGTGTGTGAGTGTGTGTGTGTGGGGGCAAATATGTGCTTTTGTGCATGTGTATGATGCCCTTTACTGTGTACTCCTTGTTGAGAAACCACTTCAGAATTTTAAAGCTAGGACTTCCTTGGCAGATGTCTTCTTCAAGGTCCAGTCTATTCCACTGTCTTTGTGCTTCATCTTGTCCTCAGGAGTTCTTCATTTCTCCCTCTTATCCCTCCACTGATTCCATTTCTCTACTTGTCCTTTTTCTGTTTACCTGAGTTCCCTTTCTTTTGTTTATATCTTTCTAGCTTCTACATATGATAAAAATCAAAGAACCCTGGACTTTCTGAATCTGGCTTATATTACTTCGTATGATGTTTTTTGTTATGATTTGGGTGTGTAGTGTTCCCCAAAGGTTGAGGTGTGAGACAATTCACGAAGGTATAGAGGAGTAACGATTGCGTTATATAGCATAGTCTTAACCTTATCAGTGAATTAGTCCCTGATTGAATTAACTGAATGGAAACTGTAGGCAGGTGGAGTGGGACTGGAGGAAGTGATTCATTGGAGGCATGGCTTTGGGGTATATATTTGTATCTGACAAGTGAAATCCTCTCTCTCTCTCTCTCTCTCTCTCTCTCTCTCTCTCTCTCTCTCACTGTCTCTCCCTCTTCTGATCATCATGTGAGCTGTTTCCCTATTACACAATTTTACACCATGATGTTCTGCCTCACCTTGAGCCCCCATGGAATGGAGCTGGCCTTCTATGAAATAAAACATCTAAAACTATTAGCTTTTAGATAAACTTTCACTCCCCATACAATTGTGCTAGCTCTGTCCTTTAGTCACAGAAGAAAGAAAGCTGACCAAATCATTCTCTGTTTCTATTAATTTTCTTGCAAATGGCATAACTCTATTTGTGTTTTGTGTTTATGTCTGAGTAAATCTCCATTGAGTACATATACCATATTTTCTTTATCCAGGTGATGGACACCTAGATTGCTTTTATAATTTAGTTTTGTGAAGTATGCTACCAAAAACATGGATATGCATAGTATGTTCATTAATTCTGTTGGATAAATATGGGGGATGATATACCTGGGTCATATATTGATTTAATTTCTCATCT